GGATACAAATTTAAGTTGGTTGCCACATTTAACTAAATTGAAAGAAAAAATTTTTAAGATTATGAATAAGATGAATAGATTATTATGTATGGATTCTTTTAAAAGTAAAAGTATTTTAAAAGAAGTTATACAATAGAGGAATTGAACGAATAATCTTGTATGGCTCACCCGTTTGGTGGACTGGAACGGAAAGGGTGAGAAATAAATTGCTACAGATTCAGAGGGTTGCAATGCTACCCATTACGGGATGCTACAGAACAGTCTCTACCACCAGCCTACAGGTCTTAGCTGGGGTTATGCCTATAGACTTAGTAGCTGAAGCTGAAACGCTGATTTATAAAGCTGTTCATATGAAGAAGAATATAGATTATTGTGACCTGAAGATTTCTAATAGAGAAATTGATCCAAAATTAGAAAAGTTTTATTTTCATCCGGCACAATTTAAAGAGGTTACCTGGAAGACACTTCTTCCAACTGGTGTTGGTTTGGAATTATTCTCTGATGGCTCCGTGATTGATAAAAATGTTGGAGCAGCATTTGTTGCTTTTGCAAATAATAAATTTGTATATAAATCTAAATTAAGATTGAATAATAATTCAACTATTTTGATGCAGAACTTATTGCCTTTGAATACGCCATAAGATGGGCTAATGAGGAAGAAAATGAGAAATATATTACAAATTGGGAGATTTCGGTGTTCACAGATTCCCAGAGCATCCTTAGAGCTCTTAATTCTAGAAAATGTTTATCTGCAAAAGTAGATAAAGTCAGAAATTATATTCACAATATTAATTCAAAAATGAAATTACATATAAATTGGATAAAAGGACATTCGAATATTTATGGAAATGAAGCAGCAGATTCTGCTGCTAAGGAAGCATGCTATAATACAGATATTGATATCACGGTTCCTTTATCTCTTAATTATATTAAGAGTGTACTACATGACAAGATTCTCCACACATGGCAACAAAGATGGCATTATGACAAAACTGGACGAAAGGTTTATAAAATATTTCCTGTTGTCAAAGAGCAAAGATTAAGTTACAATAGATTGCTAAATCAATTGATAACAGGACATGGCCAATTTCCAGAATATCTAAAAAGGTTTCATGGGAAAGATATTCATTGCCGATGTGGTCAGGATGCATCTGGAGCATCTAATGGACATTACATTTGGGACTGTGCCTTAACGAAGGAAATTAGAGGAGAATATTTTCGAAATATATCTATAAATAATGAAAAATATCTATATAGCAATAATAAAGCTAAATTAGGACTTATAAAAATTATTACCAATTTGAATAATTATGTATATTTCGATCCTTTTGTTTAATTGCTTAAATTTTTGAGTTGAATTGCATAAATTATAATGTAATTTGTATACATACAATGTATAATTTACTGAAAACTGTAAATGCTTATTGTTCGTTAAGCTAGGCAATATTTGTATTTTATAATTGTTGTTTAGGTTAGCAGTTGTCTTGAGTTCAATTTAGTCATTTTATGTTAAGAAATAGGTGGTTTCTATTCTGAATGAAGGTCGAGATGACCCGTTGGCGGCGCCGACACATCTCCAGCGGAGGATGAGATTTTGGATAAGTAGTCCTTATTCTGTTGTAGTGTTTATCCAGTTATCTTTCAGTTTGTTTCTTTTAAATTGCCGGTTGTGCCAATTTTGGCGGTACGGCTTATTTTATTTTCTTAGATTAGATGTCATAAGATCTGGTTGCCCGGCCGACCAGTCTTGGTACAAAAGCCATCAGTAAGTGTAAAACTCTTGAACACGACGTCGTCAAAATGACCACAAAGAACATATAACTGTGAGCACAGATACTCTATGAATTTAAACTGGGATATTCTTGCACGACTTGAGGCTTAAAATACTGACATTACATCTGATGCAGGTACGGCTAATAAACGCACCATGAAATTTCATGGAATACAACACCTGAAAATGAGCTTCGTGGCCACTAATAGAAACTAGTAACCTATGATCCCTGATAATCGAAGACTTTGGATGGTCCTCTCAGAAAGTTGATTACCCGCAAAGTGCCCGGACCCTGAATTTGGTCGTCCAATAATCGAAGTTTATATTTTAAATTCAAATAAATCTCATAGACTGTGTCTATCAAAAGAAAGAGCATTTAAATAGGATTCTTAACTAGCTCATAATTGTAGTGTCTGTAATTGCATCAAATTCTAGAAAAATATCCAGTATAAAAATCTACTTTCTTTGACAGGAGAAGATTGTTATCTTACACATTCTAGAATAATGTACAATTTCTATGGTACTCAGATCTTACACATTATAAGGTATTTTCTCCCTCCTTTCTGCATGATTTCGTGGTGTAATGGGAAGCAAAGTCGACGCGTATTCGAGAGGTTCAAGGTTCGAGTTTCCGTGACGGCTTTGCATAGTTTCATGTCTCCAGCATCAAAAAGACCTAATGGCTCTACAATATATTAGACTAATGCACAGTCTTGGGTTGCTGCCTAATCTTTTCTTGAAGCTAATAGAAATGATTTACCTAGTGAAGGAGGAAATGTAGAATTTAAAAGCAATTTTCGAATCCGTTGCTAAAGGCAAAGGATACTATATAATAAAAGTGCTTAAACACTTCTGCCTTTTAGACACACTTACTGAAAATAAGATTCAAATACTAATGAAAATACCGCATTTGGAATTTTTTATTTTAAGAGGTTTAAGGGCGTTCAAATAATTTGTATGTATGTACGTATAGCTTGAGAATTCATAATTCTAAGTTTTTAAAAGCTCAATTTTCCATTTGATAAAGGACTTAAAAGTAAGGTCTACCATGGATGGTATGGTGGTTACTAGAGGCAGACAGTCAGGTTAACATTAAAAGTGCATGCAAAGCTCGTTTCTCTGCGTGTGGTCTTTTCTTTTTCCTGGTGGTGAAATATTGGTTGGCCGAGAAATATTCTCAATGAGGAAGCAGTTAAAATGACCTATTTTTCGACTAATTTCTGGGAGAATGCCAAATCGTTAAATATGCCAATTAAATTCATCGTACTGTTTTCAACAGCATTTTTACATCATGATATAGAGCTTAATTCAATGTAGAGTACATCAAACAATGTTCACCTTCTTCCATTACTCCACCTTTCTATACAAACATCACTGTCATTATTCTTTCCTACTCACTTCGTCTCTCTTACAGCACCCTCATCACTTCCCTTTCACAAGGTGTAATACCACTAAGAATGTCACCTGTCAGCTTTCACAAGCTAAAAATTAAAATTCTAAACACATTTACTTAAAATAATTAAATAATAGTTATTTAATAGTACGTAAAACATGTTTTGCTAGAGTCAAAAATTCAGAAAGCTTTCTAGCTTATGAATAAAGTCTATGCTTATAAATTTGTCTATGCTTATGAATAAAACACACCATCTCATCTTGGAGCCTCTAGGCCTCATGATAACACCTAAATTCGCTTATAACAAAGCAGCCCCTGAAGTAGAATTTAAGGATAAAACTATTATATTTACATTAATTAACAAGATTCGAAATTCAGTATCAACTTGCTGCAATACACTGATTTTATTGCAACAGGACCAAAGTGCATGAACACAGTACTTACACTTGATGACAAATGAACCTATCAGTTTGTCTTTTGAAGTGCATTAGATTTTGCAATTGAAAATAAAGCCAAACCAAGACTGAACAATTCTAATTAAATTATTTTTACACTGCTAAATAAATTAATTGCTGCATAGTGATTAATATGTAACATACTCATTTTTATTTCTATAATTTTAATACTAAGTCAATGCATATTAATAGGCATCATTTAAATAGCTTCAGGCAAATGAAAATGAGATCATCTGCATCTGAGTTTACGTATACTAATTGTAACATTGATTAAAATACCTTAATTAAGCTAATATTATAAACTATTTATTATATTTTCTAACAATTAGGTATTTATTTTTAAACTAGCACTACTCACAGCCATCTGTAGCTCGACCTATCTGATGGAATGCCAAATCCCACCAAATTTGATAGGAGGGCTAATGACAACATGGGGGAAAAAAATTAGTTCCGAAAGCTACCAACAGGGGGAAATATGGTGCTGTTCTAGTCCACACAGCTAAGAACTAGACAAATCAATAATAAAGAAGAAATTTCAGTGCAACACCCGCTTCAATGCAGCAAATGAACTGACCCAAAGGGTTACAGATATTTCAGTGCACCGTAGCACTTTATTCAATAAAAGAACTTCACCGGCGACAGCATAGACCTCGTATAATGTGACCACCTTCTCGTCGATCACACATTGCATCCTGTAAGCAGTATTATCTATGACCCAGGGAGGTGGCCATGCAAAGTGGAAAAAAAGATCTTAATGACCCTTTCTTCTGTAAAGTGCTGGTGCAACAGCTGCTGTAGCGACAAACCAAAGCACTTGGGTGTTTCATCTTGCATAAAAGTTACCTGATACAGCAACTACTCCTGCTGAAATTGTGAAATGAGAAAACTACTCAGCATATTATATCTTTATGTGTTAATGGCACTGGAGTATGGTCCTCTTAGAGTAGTGTTCTCAATAAAGAATGGTTCACTGATGTAATCTGCTGTGAAGCCACACCAGTTACTTTTAGTGAATACAATAGGATTTCCTTAATTGCATGAAATTGTTTGGATGCCCTAATTCGAGAACTGAGAGTGTTCCTCAACTTCCCATAGAATTCTCCACAACCAAGCATCGTCAACCTCCACGTCAGAGCAAATACCACCCGTTTATCATAATCATGGTTCAAATTGTACTGTTCAAATTATATTGTTATCATAATCATGGTTCAAATGTTATTTTTAAAATTAATATGAAAGGTGTCCGTGGAAATTAAGTTTTGTTAATTTGTTTGGAAATCAATTTTTGTACGACCAAGAATACTTACTTACAAAAATAAATTAGAAAAAACACTTTCAAGGGTATACAAAATATAATCACAGAAGGAATTACAGGATTGGATATAACCAAGTTTAATCTGTTTATTCGTATGTCTACATTGCAAATTACATTGCTCTTTTATTATTATTAAAGCATTGTTTCTTGTACTGAGAATTTTTCAGTTTTATAGTTTAGATTCAATAACATTCTTATATTATTTCTCATATAGAAAATAACTCAGACATGAAAGACAAATTTTTTTATTTTTTTTTTTCCTTCCAGTAACATACAAAATTAAAAAGTACCACTTCATAAATGATCCAGAGATTAATCAAAATACTAATGGAAGTTCACATAGAAAAGTTTTTTCATTTTAAAAATGAATTATAAAATGCACAAGTACCAACACTGTAAAAAAATATAAGTACTCCATCTATGACATATGGTGAAAATACAATTTTATTACAAAGAAAGCACTTTACTAATTCAACAAAATGAAAGAAACACATGTATAATACCTGATACATATTAAAAAAATGTAAATCAATAATAAACTTCAATCTATTTATCTATACTTCTAAAGAAAATAATACATACACACCCATGTATGTCAGTAAAAATGGCAATGAATGATTACATACTGTCCCTCAATACATGTGGACAAATTAATTTAATACAGTTCAATCATTAGCCATACAAACACTTTTATCAGTGTTTTAGCATTGTTTATGATTGCATAAGCTATAGTATCAAACAACTAACAATATAACAGTAACATTGAATAGCTAAAAATGAAAAGCAAGCAGCAGTTTTTAATTTAATCCTTATTACTAATGCTATGAAATGTTGTAAACAAAAATGAAATACTGCAATATAGTGCAAGTTTACACTTTTCAAATACAGAAGTTAAATGGAAGTCTAAGAAATGAACTAAAGTACAATGGAAAGCAAGACGGTAATACTTTATAAAATATTAATGTATTTTTTAAAAACACACTGCACAGCTTTCATTTGAAACATCAAATATTTAACAATATCAAAAATTTTTGAATTTTTATCAGTTTAATTTACACACACAAATATTACACTGATCTCAAAACTTTGAACACATTTAATGCAAAAATGTTACTGCTATTCACTGTCTTCCTAAGAACACTTAGCCAATAGAGATGTAATTTTAATAACACATTTTCATGCAATATAAATGCAAATCTCAGCCTCAGCAGAATTGACATCTAATATGATAGAGAAGTACTGGTTACCAGAAAGCATTTTGGAATAAGACACATTGCTTATAAATACACAAAATAGACTAAGATTACACTGCACTGGAAACAGAGGGAGAAAACCTGATGGAACAGAAATAATTAGACAATCCTGCTTGCAATGGATTGTTCTTCGTAGAGTTTACATGTAGAATTTAAGGAAACAGTAAAGAATACGAAAATATTTTCTTATGACAAAGTTAATGTAATTTAAGCATTACATGTGATTTTTGCCAATTTTACACAGCTCTGTTATACACAAAATAACAATCAAAGTGCAAATATATCTTTTTTCTTATTACTCCTCTATTCCTTTCAGTATATATTGCATTCAAACAAAGCTACATTAAAAACTATTTGCTTTCTTCAATTATACGACTATATTATAATATTCACACAAAATCAGGTCTTGTAACTTTTTTCCAAATGGCAGACAAACAAACAGTTGACTGAAATCAGAAATAATTAAACAAGTGGCATTGTGATACGACTTATTATTGTCCTAGCCCCAAAGCCATAAAACTTCAGTACAATAGGATTTGACTCTGATCTCTAAATTTGTAATGTGTTTATAACCCACATCGCAAAACTGCAAACTAAAAGGAATGTAATCAGTTTCTGTACTGGCTTTCTTCTCAACTGTTCAATTGTCCTAGTATAACTGCAAGAAGCATCCAAATGAGTAGGGTTTGAGGAGTAGCATGTATGATATACTTGGTACATTTCTATTTGAATGTCTTCAAGATATAACCATTATGTATCATATTTGAACTATTCAAGATATTTAAAATTCCTGATTTTATGATCTTATGTGACTTATATATCTTAAATCTATAGATATAGATATACATTGTATACATTTCTTCATTTCTGTGATGTAACTAGAAAATTAAAATCTGTGCTAAAAATACTACATTAGCTCTTACAAAAACATAAACATCATAAGTTAAGGACTATGTTTTGTTATGTCATCATGATTATTAGCAGATTGTAATAATATGTAAGATTCTAAACTAATCTACTCTTGTTACATGAATCACTAGTGTTTCCAAAGTATTCCATCAAAGGCAGTGTTGTACTTTATGTATGAATTAAATGCACATCATGGTTTAAAAAAAGTCATATTTTTCAAAATCTGACAGTTCTTATCAAATAAAATCACTTTGAATCCCTAAAATTACTCAGGTTTGTAAAATGTCTAGTCAATGTATTTAACTTTACTGTACAAATTCAAATGTTACAAATACTGTAAATAAAATAGGCATGAGGGCCAAATCATAAATGTTTTGAAGCATATGCAGATGGTAAATGTACACTCATGCATTTTTTCAGTTTACAATTCATCAACTTGCATTCAGGAACTTAATACTAATAAAGTTTGTTGTTTTTAATTTATAACTGGTTAAGTTTCTATCAATAAAGTATAGCTGTATGGACATCATTCTGCCCTACAAAATATTACATAAAATCTTTTATTTCTGATAAATAAACCTATCCATAAAATATAAGAATGAAATAAACGGGAATTTTAAATTAAAATATTACTTATTTTTAAAAACATTTAAGTTGTCACTATAATTTGGATTTAAAACTGAAGCAGAAAATTTAAAGGAAATTGTAGATTTTTAAGAATATTTTAGAGAACCAAGACTTGTCAAAGTTCTAGAAAGTGAAATAAAACATTAGTCAAATATATAAATGCTTTTATTGTTAGAGATATAAGTGTATTTTCATATAGAAAGTAAAATTCAAATATGTACTTTTAGAGGAAAATAAGATTCTTTAATTGCCCAGATATAATTATTATGCATGCTCTAATATCTATAATTATGTGTTTATACATAAGCAGATATAATAACTCACAGTACCATCAAAGCAATTAATTGTTCCAAGATATAAATAGGAAAGTTAACACCCATAGTACATTCTCAATTGTTTAAAATATGTGTCAGATAAAGCATTTTTCTTTTATGTTTGATATTATTGGCAATGTATCTTATTTTTCCATTTGCAGCTTCTTTAAGAAATCTAAGTTGTAAATTTTAAAATGTGAGTAACCTCAAAAACACTTTTATCATCTGTTAAAATAATATGAATAATTAATAAAAAATACTGCCCAAATTCAATTAATGTGAATCAATGTCTGGAAAAGCAGATTTTTGATTTACTGTGAACAACTGAACAATCAAACACAAAATTTACGAAGAACTACAGCAAAGAGAAATGGTTTACTATCATTGCTACTTAATTTTCAAGCTTACAGACATCATACACAACATTTATATGTACACACAATAATAATAATAATAATACAAAAATGGTGAAGCAAATGAAAACTTTAAAATACAAAATTAAATGTTATAAAAACTGTGACTAAAATAGGCACAAGAGTTAATTCATAAATGTTTTGAAACATATGCAAATTATACATGAATGTACATGCATTTTTTCAGTCTGCAGTTCATCAGTTTGTTTTTAGGAACTTAATATTAATTATGTTTGAGAAAATATTAAGTCATATTTTCTCAAAGATATAAAACATATCAACATACTGTTTTCAAACTTTTTGTAACATATCAATATATATTGCATTCAAAATAAAGCTACGTTAAAAACTACTTGTTTTCTTGCATTATGTGACCATATCATAATATTCACACATAATCAGGTCTTATCTTGTAACTTTTTTTCCAAATGGCACACAAACAAACAGTCGAGTGAAATCGGAAATAAATCGCAAGTGGTGTTGTGATATGAGTTATTATTGTCCAAGCCCAAAAGCCATAAAACTTCAGTTGAATAGGATTTGAATCTGATCTCTGAGTTTGTAATGTGTTCATAGCCCACATCGCAAAATTGCAAACTAAAAGGAACGTAACCAGTTCCCGTCCTGGCTTTCTTCTTAACTGATCTATTGTACTGGTATAGCAACGAGAAGCATCCAAAATGAAAATGGTTTGAAGAGTAGCCTGTATGATACACGCTAATGATGTTGCAAGTACCAGAAGTGTATTGTCATCAGTTGTGAAATGTCCACCTATAATGCTGAACATGGTGAAAAGATACAAACCACTCTGTGCTACAATTAGAAGTATATGATCAAGTTCAGTGTCTTGATTTGAGTTGTATTTTAATTCTCGAACTTGGAGCAATGCTGCAGCAACTGCTATGGAAGTCAGAAGGTATAAACTAAGCTCAGTAATTCTAGCTTCCATTATTGCTAGAGCTTTGTAGTTTGGTTTATTAATGAGAACAAAAAACAGTATGATACTGATAATAGACAACACAAGAATTAAAATACCAGTGAACAGGCCCTTGTTAGCTTTAGTACAATCAACCTGGTAATACTGCCTTTGAAGAGCACTCAGAGAAGAAGTATTGCTAGCAGTGTTGCATTTTATATGTTTCTGCTTCCCTATATTCTTCCACATGATATATAAAATAGCTGCACAAATAAGGCTATATTGTATCGTACAGGGGAATAAAAAATGACTTGCTTCTTGTACAAGTTCTCCCATTATATTGGATCTTCTGCACTCAAAGATAACATGGGAAATTTGCTCATGAAGTGAACGTTCTACTCTTGTGTGATTGATAGGTTGTTCAAATAAAGAGTTGGTGAAGTTCTCTTCAGTGGCAACTAAAAATCAAATTTACATCAGAAAATTAGTGGGATAAAAGGAAATTTAAATTTTTAATAAAGATTAAATTAAGTTATTAATGGGAAACTAATAGTTTACCTTCAGCCACTATATTCAATGGAACAGATGAAGACAACGGCAATGTGAAATTAACATTGATCAAGGTTAATATCCCATGTTTAGTTTCTTGAACTAACACATGCAACCAGATGCAAAGATTTGTGGCTATCATATGCATGAGTCCAAATCTTGCCAGGACTTTGTATTTTTTTATGCAGACCTGCAACAAATTTGAAAGAAAATGTTACCAGTTAAACTAATTTCCATTATTTTTTAGGCAAAATGTTTAGTAAATTGTTCAGTTAAGAAAAAAAGAACAGCATATATATTGTAACGAAACTATGAATGAATGAAATATTTTAAATGAATGCTTTTAAGCTTAACAGATTATATTTCTATCTTATAGTAAGTACAAAAGCAACAATTAATAGATAAAAATAGTATAGCTCACTAGAGGTATTTATTTATATTTTTTAGCTTTGTAAATATAAAGACATTTATTCAAATATTCCTTTCCCTAGCATATATTTTCCTTTAGATTTTTTAGTAATGGTTGCAAACGTTTTATTTACTCAATAACCCTCTCAAAAATAGATATGACACATAATTTTCCCTGCTCAAGTTTTCAAGCAGTAAAATTAGTAAATTGTGTTGTGACTTATCTCATTTGTCTGACAGTAACATCAGAACAATCCCATGAAATACACGTTGGCAAGGAGTGCAAGACTGCACCTGTAGTTCAAAAGAGCCTTAGCACCATACAGGTGACAGAACTTTACTCAGTTCTGCCCTCCACTTTTGATGCAGAGCACCCCGGAGAGACACATTTGAGGGTCTCTCACCCCTCTTCCTCTACCACCAACCTCTGGAGAGGACGTTTGGCTAGCCGCATATTTAACAGTTCCTCCATGCCACATGGACACTATATATTTACAAACATCCATGCCTTCTCCGGGATTCAAACCCATGCACTTTGGTACTGCAGTCAGCGTCGCTAACCGATATCCTGGTTGGGTAGCAAAATTAGAAAATAAAATGATATCACAAGAATTCATATTGTTTAAACAATAAACAATATTTATACTCTACTATTAATTTACCCATGGTGTTTGTTTAGATAAAAATAAAACAAAACGCATTAATATTATCATAATATCAGGTTTTAAAAACTGACAGACTTGAAAATATATTTCTATATTTTTGAGATAAATGTAATCAAATTTCTTAAATGCAACAGGAATTTGGTTACACATATTTTCATATAAAATGACAATGTAATTTGCATGTTCTTTTTTTAATACTGTTTTGCTTTAAAAATTCTGCAAATCTATGTTCTATTCAAAAGAAATAGGTTTTATTCAAAATTAAGCTAAAATATATTTTTATGTGATATTAACAGAAAGAGAATTGTTTAAACATTACACAATAAAATCCCTATTCACAAGTAATCAAGATTTGAAATTTTTATGTAGTTTTAAATTAATATATAAATAGTCTGTAGTGAATTTACTAAGCTATAATATTCAGTTTTATATGCAAAAAATACAAAAGTAAAAAAACAAATACAACATGAATTTAAAAACTGCAAAATTATTAGAAAATATAAAATAAAAATTAAAACTAACGGGAGCAGTATTATATATACTACTCCCAAACACTTAAATATAAGACATAAAACTCTTTGTTTTTAATGGCATTTTCTTAAAATGTATGCTGAAACTTTTTTAGACTAATATTATAGGTGAAAATCTTTCTTTGTTTCTTTCATATGATTTTCTTCCACTCAGACTTATTTTATGCACTTTAAAAATCTTTGAAATTAAAAAAAAAAAAAAAGAAGAAGAAGAATTATTACACCTAGACATTCATTTATCTGGACATTTATGACATTGCTTACTAGCAATATATAGATTTTTTTAACAGTGCCAAACTGAATGAACTAATAACAATATACAAATCCATAGCATTAGTTACAGTATTGACCAAGAAAAATTTAATATCAAATATGACACGTAATGATAAGACATATAGTAACAAATAGGATATACAAATTGATTTTCATTCCTGTATATGCTATGAAAATCCCTTGATAAAACTCTATATACATATTTCAATTCTTCAAGGTGAATATCATAGCAGAGTTTTGAATTATATATATATTTTTTAATTCTTTAAACTAAATTTACCACTGAATAGCATTTTATTGCTTGTTAAAAGTTCTAAGCCTGAAATTCTTTCATCCTTGTATATAGGAATATAGTGAAAAATTCTAATTTTTCAACTTCGCTGCATCACAATTTTTAAATTGAAAAAATGTACAATAAATGATCTAGCCCAAATTCATTTATGAAGCCATGCAAAACTCCCTTATACTATTTTAAATACTTTAAAAAAATGTAAGAAAATTCAATTAAGAAAGATATTCATAATATTCAACAGATTCTTGTGTGAAAAGTAAAGATAAAGTGTTAAAAAGTCTGAATTTATAAAACTAATTTTTCATATTATTCATATTACATAAAAAAATTATTTCATGCAAATATATTCTTCTAAAAATTACGATGTCAACATTACCAATAATTCGGCAGTATTATTCATATGTATGCTCGATATAAAGTAGAAAAATTCATATTTAGAGATAAATGATTGTATTTAACATCTATTAAAATGACTTGAAGAGTTTTAGCTGAATATAAACTGAATTTGTTACTAGGTGCTCACAAGAAAAGTGATTTCCTTGTCAGTTTAAATATTGAGCTTGACAATTTATACAACACACACTGCACTTTTTTTATATAAATTATAAGGAAAGAAGTAAACACATATTTCTTATTGAAAACCAACTGGGCAGAACATGAATATGCACTTTAACTATGTGCTGTATGTCTTATTTTTAAAATTATTCTACACAGAAATGAAATTAAAACAAAATTATCAGTTTTCAATAATTCTCTGAACATTTTTGCAAATTTTCATTAAAAATTAAAATACATTCAAATACCCATGCAGTCTTATATTTTGACAGAAATAATTATATGAATTTCATAAATAAAGAAAAAATAGCAAAAAATAGTGTTAGCTGAAAAGGATACAATAAGAAAACAGTTGCAAAACAACATATTAAGCAAAGAATGTGTTATAAACAGCCTTCCATTAACTGAGAGGAGAAAAAGAAAATAATAATAATAATATTCAAGAGATCAGATCAGATTAAAAATATGTGCTCTTTCGTATTTTAAATCCAAATAACATTTTTTCCAAATGTTCAGAAATTACCTTTGTACCTTTGTACTGCAATTAAATTTTATAAACTAAATCCAAATAATTTATTTTGGTACATAAAATTCAAACAGTCATAAACTTTAAAATTATGCTTCATAACAAAACATAAAACTTCAGTTGATAATATTAAAAGATTTTTAAAAAAATTAATAGTGTTGTAACTGAATATATAGGAAATGTATAAAGTTTTTACAAAAACAGCATAGTAGATAAAATAATTTTTACACTTTTTCACGTTAATAGCAGAGAAATTATTAAAGATAACCTACTTAAACATTTTATGTTTGAAGCTGTAATAACTGCACTGAGTGAGTGAGAGCACATGCAAGCATTATATTATTATTAATCCCATCACAGCCTACTTGGAAGAAAGCATTGCTGTGCACTAAATAATACAAAAGAGAATGTTTCCTTTTATACAAAAAAAAAAAAAAAAAAAATGAATTTTTTAAATGTTATCAGAAAACTGAGACTGTGCAAAGATGACAGTTGAGAGAGTTTTATACTTTGCCTCAGAGAAACTTGAAAGAATGGTACGTGATCTGAGAACAGGATGATGCAGCAATAAGAGAAGAACCTCAGATGAAATGTGGGCTCTGTTACAGCCTTTGAATGCATATACCACAAAGCCAAAATTATGGAATCATATTAGACACAGCTTGTGCTCCCTTCCCCCACTAAAATAATATCCACTGTTTGTTTATCTATTCTATAGCATTGCAGATGATGCACTGCTGCCAATTTCTGTCATTTTAAAATATCTATACATTATGCCACTTAAAAAATGCATAATTGCTATTATTAATGTTCCTGTTATTAGCATTCAAAGATTGTAAATATTTTTGGGACAGCCTATAGTAATATTGTATTTATTATCAAAACAGTCACATTGTACCTTCTCTCCTATATCATTTTCTCTTTTTAATATTTGCATTTAAATAATAAATTTGTCATATTTCATATTGATTGATTCATATTTCATATTTCATTTTCATATTGAAAAATTTATTTTAAATTTATATAAAGACCACAAAAATATTTTTAACTGAATGTTTAAGTCTAAATAAAGAAAAGTTATTCATGTTGAAAATGTATTTTAAAATCACAAAGACCAAATAAAATTATTTTAATGCTAATTCATGATTTAAAAAATTAAATTTACGTGTCTTATAACCAATACATACAATTACTTCAATAAAGGAATACTTACCTGTGAATTAAGAAATATGAAATACATCTGGATAAAAGTAAAAGCCATTCTTGTTATAGGACTAACTCCATATAAAATATTATAACAACTGGTTCCAGACTCTAATTCAAAAAACTGCCCAAATTCTAATCCGGAATAGATCATGCTTGCAATTCCAAATGCTAGGGGGAAAAAATCTCAGATATTATCCTAAATTCTTTTAATCATACTTTGAAAATATTATACTGTAGTTCTTAATATACTTTTTAATTACATAAAAAGAAAAATGATCAATAACAGAAATACACTGCTCAAAACAATTAGGGGATACTGTGATTTTGATGTGAAATGACAATATAATGAGCAACTTTTTTAACAAAAATTAAACTGAAGAGGTTAAAAAAGAAAACTATACCATTTAAAAGTTAGGAATGTGCAAGATTTGTTTGTGACATCGGAAACTATGTGTTTCAGATAAGGAGTGAAAAACGACCTGTAGCATTCCTTCTACAGCAAGATACTAAAACGATTGACACAAGTTGAATGTTTTGTAACAGTGAATATGATGTTTCAGCAAGATGATTTAGCTCGCAGGGCCATCGGTCATTTAGAGGTGAATCAAAACAATCCGTTGTAGGGGAAACATTAGGACTTTCTCAAAGTGTATTTCCAGACTATGGAATCTGTTTTTTGGAAACTGGAAGATCGGGACAAGGTCGTAAGCCTGCAACAACACAAAATGAAGATTGGTATTTAACATTAATGGCCAAAAGAAGCTGCATTATGAATGCTACTTTCTTGCAAAAGTATCTTCAGTGGGCTACTGGTACCAGGGTTTCAACTCAAACTGTTCAAAATCGACTCCACTATGTGGGTTCATATATTTGAAGACCTATGGTTTGTATTTCGTTGACACAGGACCACTGTGCTGCTTGCAGAAGGTGGGCAGATGAGCATTTCAGATGGGAACGAGATGAGTGAAGCAATGGATGAGTCACACTTTAGTGTGCAATCTGACAAGAGGCAGTTTTCATCTGGAGAGAACATGGTACAAGGAGTACTCCTGCATTTGCGCATGAGAGTGTCCAGTTTGCCGTAGGTGGAGTTATGGTATGGGTCAGTATTTCTATCAATGGTCACACCAATCTGCACATTATCAGGAATGGAGCACTGAAGGCTCTAGACCCTCCAGTGGCCAAATGGAAGACCACTGAGCCATGAAATTCATTTCATACGGGCTGATCTTTAGAATATGGTAACTGGTAGTTTGGCGACATTTTGGAGGCGATAAAGGTTACTACTTGGGACTTTGGTAAAAATGTGAGCAGTACTCAGTTCTGATTACGCATTATTTTGTGTGAGGGAAATGAGATGTCATGTGATATTAATGGACGAATTACGGTTCTTTAATCGGAAAAGGGGGGAATTTGGAAAATATCTGTGGCTGTATATTATTTTGTATTAAGCTTCATTGTGTGTTGTGTGAAGTAGGGTTGAATAATTTTGGGATTGTTTGGCACTGTCTAAAGTGAATTCTAGATGTGATAAAGAGAATTTTGCTTTTTATTTAGCGGAGGAAGTGTGGAGGAAAAATTCGCAGAAAAAATTGTTCAATAATTTTAATGAATCCATAATAAAAGTGTATCCACCATGTAAGCAAGATTCTGAAGAAGATTAGGTAAGTTAGTATTTTTAATTATTTGAGGATATTATTTTTATGCATTGTTCTAAATGTAAGATGGAAGTAAGTAATTTGGTATTATTGGGAAAATTGTTATTAGCAATGATTTAGTTTAAAGTAATTAGGATTGTAAGCTAATTTTTATTAATTTATGTATGTGCTTATTTATATTTTAAGTAGTTGTTTTTGAATTTAATAATATTTTAATTAAATGATAGTTATTTTGTGAATTTTCTGTTTGTAGGAATTTGGTATACGTTTAGTTGAAGTAAACGTGCATGGAAATAATTTAAATATTTGACACTAAGTATTTGTAATGTTTGCGGTATGAATTCGTTGGTGACATTTATAATAATAATAATTTAGAGGTAAAAGTTTTTGGGTATTTTATTTATTTTATACGTGGAAATGTTCATATTTGGAAGGGTATACTTTTTTCGTTATTAGGTAATTTCATATATGTTTCTTTTAATGGGTTTAAAGATTCAGAAAATTGTCATGCATTTTCGTGAAAATTTTTCTAATTTATGAGAAAAAAGCAGTGTACATGGATATGGGGAAGAGTGTGCGCAATGCCATTTTTGTGCAATTCTGTGATTTTTTTTTTTTTTAAGTAAAAATAAGTCGACGTGTACATGGTTTAGTGATATTTTAATTAAATGATAGTTATTTTGTGAATTTTATGTTTGTAGGAATTTGGTATACATTTTAGTTGAAGTAAACGTGCATGGAAATAATTTAAATATTTGACACTAAGTATTTGTAATGCTTGCGGTATGAATTCGTTGGTGACGTTTATAATATAATAGATGATTTAGAGGTAAAAGTTTTTGGATATTTTATTTATTTTATATGTGGAAATGTCTATTTGGAAAGGGTATTACTTTTTCGCGATCAGGTAATTTCATATATGTTCTTTTTACCAGGTTTAAGATTCAGAAAATTGTCATGTATTTTCGTGAAATTTTTCTAATTTATGAAAAAATCAGTGTACATGGATATAGTGAAGAGTGTGCGCAATGCCATTTTTGTGTAATTCTGGGATGTTTTTTTAAGTAAAATAAGTCGACGTGTGTACATGGTTTATGTGTATTGTTATTTTGAAAAACGCGTAGGAGTATGGTATTTGTTTTGCCTTTTCCCCAATTTGCAGTGAACATTTGTCATGATTAAGCAGTTTTGTTAGATAAAATTTCTAGCATAAGTGTAATTCGGCTAGTAGATTGTTGGAAGAAGTGTTCAGTAGATAAAAAGAAAAGAAACATGTCTTTACTTCGTGAAGACAAAAATGGCGGCAGGAAAAAAAAAATAAGGGTATTTTGTGGTAGAGAGTTGGTCGCCAATTTTCGCCAAAAAATCACCAAGTTACCATAATCTAAAGATCAACCACAATACGTTCCCTTTGAAAAGTCCTCTCTGATTTTATTACAGCAAAGCACAAGATAGCTATTTTTGCAGATTCCTTCCTTCAGAAGATATTGCTTATATATTTTATATTAATGAATTAACAAATCGACATATTCCTATCTTTACAACATTTTAGCGTATTTTATTAGAATGTGATTGGTACTATTCCCATTAACCCATTGAAAATTTTTAAAAACAGAAAGTTACTCAGAATATCATCATACATTTTAAGCATATGGGCATGCTTTTAATTATGCGCATGCTTCATGTTTTCATCATCGTTTGAATTCATTCAAATAATTATTGCAAGCTGGAAGATAATGTACCACTTAGCATTGAACATCTCGGATTCTTTTGCATGGTAAAAATAATAGTTTGAGGATGGTGAATTGATGATGACTGGGGATTTGAGCAATGATGTGTTTGAATTTTCAATTCAATGACCATGCTTTTCATAATTTGGTCATAACGAGAGGAAACACCTACTATGGTTTGTCATGCCATGTCAGAAAGACATCTCCATGATTTATGCCAAAGAAATAACAGATATTTGTACTAGAGAAAAACCATAATGAAACACTCAAAATGTTACAGTATGTATATGGTGATGACACATTTCACAATGCTATAGTAGCTGATGATGGCATTTCAAGTTGGAAATATGCAAGTAGGCATTTCAAGTTGGAAATACGCAAGTAATATAAAGCATGTTATGGTAGGTGCTGTGGTACATGTCAATATTTCACACCCATGAGAGTCACCGAACTTTAACTACTATGCAAATATTTCAAAAACAGTTTGTGTGGAGTCATGAGAAAAATAAAAATGGATTTGCGCAAGAAACTGTGGTTTTATTGCACCCTGTTGCTTCTGTGGCATTTACAACACTGTCCGATATCTAGGCAGTCTCTAGCCAATATCTAGGCAGTCTAATCATTTAAACTGCAAATCGGCAAAAGAGGTTTTTTCTCCAAATGAGAAAATGAAAAACAGCACGCCAGCAGTGCTAACAAGATGTCACAAAAGAGTCTATTTCATGTTTTTGAATCAATTATTGAACACTGTAACACAGCGTGATTATTGAACACTGTAACACAGTGTGTAACACAGCGTGAGGATTCGAATTTGAAAAAGGAAAACATAAAAGGGCATTATAAGTTATCTGATTCTGAATAAGAGAATCAATCTTAAAACTTCTCAATCAAATTATGTAGTATCCTTAGTGTAATATTAAAAATACCAGGGTCTGATTACCACCTAAATCGATGAAGACTTGGCCTAAGCCTCCTATAACTCTTCATTCTCCCTTATACAAATGAAGAAATTGAGCAATTGCTGCTTCTGAAAAATCAATGTTTTAATTGGGTTCAGAACAATGTGCAGTTTTAACAAAGGCACTAAATTGTTTAATATGGGCTTTGCAGATGAAGTTACAGGAGAAAGGTAATAATCACCCATAACTCGTGATCTAACATGATTTTACACCTCATAACAATTTATTATTATATGCTTATAGCATCAAACACATCTTACATTCATTTTTTTCATTCACGATTATAGTTGCATTTCTTTATCTTTTTTATTCGTTTTTCACTTGCTTTGCCTTTTAATTTATTTGCAGTTTAAAAACTCATCATTTTTTCTCACAATCAGAATAATAACTAACATATCTATACTACGTAAACAACTTTTGATATCGTAAATGAAATTAAAATCAGTTTCACTGATAAAAATTCAAAAATACATTACTCATCTTTACAAAGATAATGTAGTATCAATAACTAATGTAAATATTGATAATTTATTCTTTGATTTGTGGTAACATACTAGTGAGAGCTGGAAATGATATTTTATTTTTGTGCAACTGCAAAACATAATAAATAAAAAAAAGACTTACAAACCAAAAGCTTATTTTTAATATATATATATAAAGGAATCTTACCAACAGCACCAAGTCTTAGGTAAAAGTTTCCATGCTCTTTAACTACAGAGACTTTGTTTTGTTTTGATGGATGGTTTAAACTCTTGTTGCTGTTACGAAAGCTACCATTTTCTTCCTCTGACTGAGGTACAGAATTATTTGATTTACTCATTGATCTTAAGCAAGAGTTTATTCCTTTTTTGCAGACTAGACTTTTACAGCACCTTTCAGATCGCAGTATGAAACAGTACATGAACAAAAGAAAAGATATGCTTCCTCCATACAAATATAAAAAGAAACCCTAAAATAAAAAGATGTCTTTTAATTCTGCATAGATATTCTAAGAAACACTGTAAATAAATAGCATAAAATCACAACCAAAATAAAACATTAAAACTAAAAATAAATAAATAAACTTTTCTTATTTTTAAAGGTTGTTTAAACTAATAAACTGAGAAAAAAATTTTTAACCTAGAAAATTTTGAAACTGGAAATTACTTTACTTTATAAAGCTAGAGTTAAAAACAGAAAGTAGAGGATAAGAAAAAGTAACTTATACAAAATTTAGAAAGAAATATCATATATCTACCGCTAAAACGTTAAAGCTGTTTTTATTAATTCTGCTCTTTATTTAATGTTTCTTTTCATTTATCTAATGAAATAAAGAAACAAATGAAATGAAGTTCTGGATATGCATACTCAATGAAAGAGGCACTGTGAAATCGTTCATCTGTCAAAAGTGCTAAAACTGGCTGTCTCTTACACAACAATTAAGCTATTTCAAGAGGGCTATTCATTATGAGGACAGACCAAGGAAAAGCTTGTTTGATACTGTTTTCAGATGCGCCTGTGTTGACACATGTAACGAAACAGGAAGGATAGAAATTATCACTGTGGATTTTTATGTGTGCACTGAAGTTACGGGATACCCCTCAAGATCATATCCCATCTCAATGGTTATCATTCCATTGGTAAGTCAGTGGTCAAAAAACATTTATCTTTCTTCTTTTCTAAAGCCATACTTCACCAATTCAAATTTTCTTCCATTCTATTATCATTAAAGCCTGTTTCTGCTGCTTTCATACTTGTTAACTCATAAATATCTTGTATATCCCAATAAGAGGCCCAAAATGTTAAGCCTAGTGATGCTATTAAGTGCTTGGAAGCTACTAGTATACAGTCATCCCTCGCTACGTCGCGGTTCATTTATCGCGGCCTCAGTACATCGCGTATTGTTCAAAAATATTCATAAAAAATTCAAAATTCATGAATTACGGCGCGAAAGTTGCCCGCACGCCAGCAGAAGGCAGGAAAGTGGCCACACAATTCAAAATCCACGTTTCTGATTGGCTGGCTACGAGGGGTCTGACGTCACCCATGACTACGACGGATTTACGCGTGACGAAGTTCCACTCCGCCGTACACAGCCAACGGCTGGCTCGGTTGGTAGCCACAGAAGTGTTCTCCGACATGACGACGGAAGAAGTGAACACGCTGATCGAGTGCCAATCGAACCCCTAACCGACGAGGAACTCGTCGAAATGACAAGATCGGCGAGTGAGGAAGAAGAGGTAGCTGACGGCAACGAAGCTGAAAAACGTGGCCTTACCTCGGAAAACCTGCAAGAGCTCTGCAACAAAGGGCCCAAGAAATCAACAACAAACATGGTCAGAGCCGTATTGACGGTGTAATGGCGTTGTACAAGGGCATCTTTGCTCAGAAGAAAAAACAATGGTCACAACTCCCTATCACGATGTTCCTTGTGCGCCGAAAAGTTCTGCACAAGCTTCTCCTACTGTCTCTACACAGCCTACTGCAGCTACCCCAGCTCGATCCGAAGCTGGCCGCGACGATCCAGCGCCCCTAGTACCGACGATGAGGCGTCATCTGAGGAGCAGTAGAGCTCTCATTAACCTGTGAAGTAAATCATCTTCTTCACCTCCATCGTACTGCACAGGTGTTTCATCCACATTTATAAAGATTAAACAAAGAGAAGCTATTGTGAGAGGTGGGTTACGTACCTTGTTATAAAAGAAAAGTTGTTATAAGAATAAAAGAGTTTTAAAAACAGATTTTGCAGTATGTACACTTTAGTTACATCTACGTATGTTACACACACACACACACACATATCATATTTATGTTATTTATACATTATTTTATGTATGTTATTTATACTATCAATATTTTATTCACATGTTTGAAACTATTCTGTTCTTTAATGATCTAATGATAACATATGCACTTATATGATTTCATACACACTTATTTATATTATACATATACAAAATTTATTAAAACACTTATTTATATTATACATATACATATTTTATTTTATTTTCTCGTGTAGCATAATTTCTCACCCTTCAATGACATTGTTTTTTAAAATGTGTTGAACTCTTTGGAGCCACAGCTCCTGGTAACTTTTAGGCGAGCTTACTACAATTTCTAATTTACTTATTTTGCAGCATATTGCGCAAAATGTTTTCTAGACCAAATTGGTCATACAGTATTGTACTAACTACCTTGCTTGTTATACATATACAAAAAATGTACGTATGTTAAAAATGAGAGGGTGACACAACTTTTTCACTTATCGCGGCCGGTTCTTGTCCCTATTAACCGCAGTAACTGAGGAATAACTGTATTATTAGTGCTGCGAAAATAAATGATTCCTATTTCTACCATCGCTTGGAATGGTGCATTTTACTCTAAAGTACAGTTACTGCTCCTTAATTTTGAATTTCTTTATTCCGTCTTTCCCAAATTAGCCTAAAATGCCAGAATTCTTTACTTTTATGGGTATGAGAGAAAATATAATGTAGGGTATAATCTATTTTGCACTATTTTATTTCGTAGTGCAGCATATAATGCATAAGGTACTTCTCCTGCCTTCGTGGTGTAGTGGTTCTGCACGCTGGGCCGATATTCCAGAGGTCGGTGGTTCGATTCCCGACGAAGGCGTTCCTAATTTTTCATCGTGCCTGCTTCCAAAAAATACCTAATGTCTCTACAGTGGCCCCCGAACTAAAAGGGTGTTGGATGATAATTCTCCTCACCCAAGATTTGGCGCCTGGTTCCCCTAAAAACCCCAGTTGCTCTTTAAAAAGAAGGAGTATATAAGGTACAAATAGGGCGCAGCCCCATCCACCTAATCGACAAGATTTTATGACAAACAAGGGCTGCGCCAAGCAAAAACCACGAACGAGGGCATCCAGCAACCCGGCCATGTCCTGGCAACAGGCAGTAAAATTAAAAACAAACCTAAAAACTTCAAAAACTTCAATTTAAAAACACTATAATCAGGAAACCAAAGGGTGTTAAGGGGCCCCGGGTAACAAAAAACATGTAAAGAAAACCAAGAAAATAAACTGGAAAACATCACAACAGGAAAACAAGAAGAAAGGAAAATAAAAACTAAAGTATAGTATATAAGGTATTTCTCCCGCCTTCCTAGCATACTTTCGTGGTTCTGCACGCTGAGCCGGTATTCCAGAGGTCCGTGGTTCGATTCCCGGCGAAGGTGTTTGCTAATTTTTCATCTCTCCGGCTTCCGAAAAATCATAATGTCTCTACAGTGGCGCCCGAACTAAAAGAGTGTTGGATGAGAATTCTCCACACCCAGGATTTGGCGATTGGGTCCCCTAAAACCCCAGTCGCCCTTTAAATGGGGGAGTATATAAGGTACTTCTCCTTCCTAGCGTGCTTTCGTGGTTCTGCACGCTGAGCCGGTATTCCAGAGGTCCGTGGTTTAATTCCCGGCGAAGGCGTTGCTAATTTTTTCATCTTGCTGCTTCCAAAAAAATACCTAATGTCTCTACAAATGTAATACAGGGAACATTATATTTTATTATCGTTTTATGATGATATATCTCATTGTACACGATTTGCCAATTAAACTTCACTTAATTACGCATGCTACAGGAATATTCTATTTTACATACTAATCGTTATTTAGCGACAGTCAGTTTTTATAGACTTGGAACATATTATCTGCAGATATAGAAGTATTGCTGTAACTGGAGATATTGTCCATAACCTATTCAACTTTTGTCATTTCATATGACTGATTCTCAAACAGAGATAAACTGGGTACACATAAATATAGGATATCTTGTTACTACAATGAAAGAAATATAACTTTGATCACATTTTAATATTACACTCTACAGCAGAGAATGTTATTTTTGAATCTATATTAAAATATCAATTGTTCTTTTCCAAAAACAGTTTAAAATATATTATATGAATTATCAGAGCATTTCCCTGTTTTCACAACATTATTAATTATAAAGATGCTAAGCATTCAGAATTTGCTGAGCAATTTTCATCTTTTAAAAATTTTTTTTATTAACGAAACGTATTTAATATTAATTACAATATATGATGATATATAAATATAAACCTCACATCAGAGTTTGTTTTAACACAGTTTAAAGAAGAAAACTTTTTAAATGAAAAAAGACCTAAACAAGCACAATTTAGTCAATCCTACATTGTTACTTTAATTATTATTTTTCATACCTGAAATACATATTTTAGTATCATCACTGTTTACTGTAATCACATAACATAACATGCGCTTTTAAAACACCTGAATAATACTTCGCTACAACATCAGGAATTTATTGCGTTTTATGATACAGAAAAGTAAGTATTTAATAATATTTAAATCATCAGCAAGTATTTAATAATATGTAAATTGATATCTGTATAATCTTACTCAGCATTTATTTGATATTTGAATGTCACATTGTTCTAACGGTTTATATATTTTGTTTAAAAACATTAAGAAAAATTACTTCATAATAGGATACAGGGATCTTTTTTGATATCACTTCTGCAACAGGAAAACAAATCCCCATTACAACCAGCAATTTAGCATAAATTCCACTCAGCATGATAAGCAGAGAATCACTGCAAAGGAAAAAAAAAAATAATTAATTTACTGACTGAATGATGAGTTTTAATTTCAGCTTATAAAATACATGTATATTTATAAAATATATATCTATATATATATATATATATATATGCCCGTGTGCGTGAGTATGCTTGCATAAATATACAACAAGATTGCAAGTCACAGCTGTAGAATAAAATACAGATATGAAAATTTAAATAGCAATTTAAAATGTAAAGAAACTAAGCTTATAAAATAACAGAGTGTACTTTTTAGCACTTTAGTATATTTATGAATATAGTTAAGTGCGAATAAAATTTCCATGATTTTATTCGAAGTTGCTTTTTTATTTCTGGGAGAGAAGACATTACGATCACCCGAAAAGGGTTCTATCCCATGTAACACCAAAATAACTCTTACTCGGTAAGTCACAAATATTAGACTTTGGAAATAGGGTGGTGTCTCGTGCCAAACCTTTTACGTGGTTGAAATCGCGCGTAGGACTTGCAATTCTAAAACATCATTGAAGCACTCAAACTGATTAATGGCTGAAGAATCTTGAAGCCATTAAAAGGCCAACCTAATGAAACCAAAGCGTTATCCTGTTAAAAGAGGATACTTTCAGAAAGGAATTCCACTGTATGTAAAGTTTGCATTTATATTTAATAGGTGATGGATAATGAAGTTACATTTTTCACACATGAATGAGCAGTTCTAACGGGTTCTTTAACAGAAAATTTCTAAAAAGTACTACACCTCTTTTAAAATAAACCCTTCGATCTCGCAATGCATTATGATCCCAAAAATTTCATCAAATAAGCGGTGCCGATGTACCATAATTAGTTGCATGAGAAAATGAGATTTATTGGAAGAGGTAGCTTTCTTACAGTTACATATTCTTAAAGCTTGCATACCAATCTAGGTTCTTACCAACATTTAACCAAGGTTAGCAAAGGCACGCAAATTGCTTAGGGCTTTGCAGTCCTATTTTCTTTACGTTCGATACACATCCTGATACGCATTAAATTAGGGTCCATCAATGGTCGATTGGTTGCGGTAGTCGAACATTGTTATTTCAGAGGATTAGTAATCCTGGCGAATGGGCTGACAGCTTGATGTTTTCATGGTTTACTGATGTGCAATACAAACACGAGCCAGTTTCTCAAAGAAATTCCTCCACGAAGACGTCCCCCTTCCTTTAGGCAGCCAGCCCTCGTGCACGTTACCATAGTCAAAAAAGGAAAGCCATTAAATATGATTCTTAACTATCATTAAAACTGCTCATCGAGTTATACATCTTCCGTAGAATATGAAGGGAAATACTGTAAGCGTAAAAGAAAATGACATGTGCTTATAATGGTAGTAATTTCTCATTATTGCTCGCTTGATAAAGGCCTTTGAATTCATTTGCGATTTAGAATGGGGACAACTTTACACAATTCCACTGCTTACTCATACCGGGTAGAAAAACATCTTCCAGTAACAACAAGCAAGATGAGCTGAGCTATTAATTCTTTAGATCCTAGCAAGACTTCCCGATTGAAAGAAAACCACAGATATCATTTCCTATTCCGCTTACTTACTATTCTACACTGCTGGCCATTAAACTTGCAACACCATGAAGGAAAGCAAATGCAAAAAGATATTTATTGCACGTAAAAAAAAGAGTAAGGCAGGGAGTCAAAATGATTAAATTTGTAAGCAGTTTGGGAGTTTACAGGGGACGAAATTAGTAGGAACAACAGCCACCCCTGGCAACTAAAATGGCCTTTACCCGGTTAGGCGTGGAGTCAGACAGGACTTGGATGACAGAAACGGACAACCTTATTCCATGCTGCTTCAAGTCTATGCCACACTTCATCAACGGTATTAGCTGGAGAGGGGTGGCGAGCCAGTCTCTCAGCAACCCATGACCAGATGTTTTCAGTGGGTGACAGATCTGGAGACCGTGCAGGCCAGGGCAGCAATCGAATACCCTACACGAAGATCAGAACTCGACGTGCAACATGTGGTCATGCATTAGCTTGTTGAAAGAAGGCGTTTGGCAGGCCTCGAAGATAGGGCACAGCCACCGGACGTAAAACGTCAGAAATGTACCGATCTGCGTTCAAATTACTGTCGATGCGAACCAGAAATGTGCATGTCGTGTATCCAATGGCTGCCCAAACCATCACACCAGGTGCAGGACCCCTAAGCCGATATCGAATGCAAGCAGGCGACGTACGGTCTCCTCGAAGCCTCCAAATACTTATACGGCCATCAGAATACCGCATACTGAACCGGGACTCGTCTGAAAAGATGAAGTTGTGCCACTCCTGTATCCAGCTTTGTCGTTCGGCTTACCAGAGTCGCCGTCTCTCTCCATGCTGCATTGTCAAGGGACGCCTAAGTAATGGTCACTGTGCTGATTGTCCGCGCTGCTGCAAACGTCGACGCACAGTACGAGCGGTTACTGGATGTGCTACAAATATGCCTATTTCCTGACTAATGGTCCAAGATGTCGTTGTAAGCTTTTGCAGGGCTGACCTCACAATATACCTGCCCTCGCGGACGTTATTCATGGGAAGGCGTTGAGATCCTGCATGCCGTTCAGTATGACCCTCAGCAACCCTCTGATTTTATATTCGCATGACAGTAGTTTTATGTCGACCAATGCGACGGGTGATACCACGGAACGATAATCCACACTTTCGATAGGCAACGATCCTGCCTCTATCGAATTCCGACACTTCCTGATAAGCATTTCTTATTATTATTCGAGGGATAACACGATATTCTGATCAAACTCCGACCTTACAAAGCGCTTTCCAAATGAGAAATCCACTACACAACTTTTCTTTTATGCAGTGCTTCAGATGTCGTTGCTCTCTCTTGCTGCGTCTAAATGCGCTGAGATACTAATCAGTTGCATATCCCAACCTCTTCTTTCTTTCATATGATTTTGAAGCTTGTCAGATTATTTCTTCTTGGTGTTGCAATTTTAATCCCAGCAGTGTATTTTATGTATAGTAATCCTATGTGAAGCTATTAACAGTTTTGGAATCGGAAAAATTCTCTATTGTCCACGTTGGAATTAAACCTTGTTTTTCAGATTACAAGGTTGAAATCATGAACATGACAGAAATGCATGGGAGGGAAAAAAATAGCGTAATTTCTCTTACATTGCTTTACCCGAGAATACATACGGTATGGGTTGTTGTTGTCGTGCCCCACATTACATGGAACAATGGTTGCCGCTTGCTCCGAAGAGAGGTTGGACTTCTATTTTCCATACCTAATTTTGAGGCAGTGCACGCCGGGAAAGGGGGAATCCGGGGTCTCCCACCCCTCTCCTCACCCACTAATCCACACGAGAGGACTTTCGGCTCACCGCTTGGAGTGCCGCCCTGCCGCACCGACATTATACATTTACAAACATCCATGTCTTATCCGGGATTCGAACCCGGGCACTTCGGTACCGTAGTAGGCTCATTTATGTAAGTGTGTACAATATATCTGTATATGAGTTTGTATTTATATGTATATACATATATTTTGATTGTACTCTTCTTCAAGTGCCTTGTATGCACATGTATATATATATTTCTTTGTACATTGTTGTACTCTTCTTCAAGTGCCTTGTATGCATATGTATATCTCTTGTTTGCATTTTATAAATGTCGTCTGCTCATCCGGGGCTGCCCAGGGCTGCGGCCTGGTAGCTAGTGGTTGACTCCCGCCGAGTTGATAACCAATTCTGCATGGATATATCTATACCTGGGTCGGAAGCCAACTCAGCGGTTTACCTCCCCTAACCACTATACCGTCTGGGCGACATATGGTATGGGTTATAAACAATTTACTGTTTTGCAATGTTCTACAACTTTTCTATGTATTCAAAGAGAAAACTTAAATGTAATTCTGTATTAATTTTAACCCCCCCCCTGTAAGCTATAACCATTATTTGCTTTTCAAATTAAACGTAGAAAACTTATAATTCGATATAACATTTATTATTAAGTTTTTGCGGCATGCATACATTACATGCAACAATATATTTGAAGAACTAAATATATTTTTGTGATCAAATAAAAAAAAATAAAAATATTAGATTTAATTACATGAAAAATTTTTCCTTCTTTCTCTCTCGCATTAAAAGCTCTGAGGAAGGATATTATACATACATTGCAAAAATAAAAAAATCAACTTATGAATATTATGAGCGTTAAATTCGCAAATAATAATAATAATAAAACAGAATGCAGGACAATTGAAGCGTAAAATTTTAAACAGTGCATGGTATATAATGAGCATTTATATACTAAATGTTCAAATCACAAACGCTGCACTCTTATTAAAAACAAACATAGCTTTAATTTCAGTTTTGGCATGAAGTCCTTAAATATTTTATTTCACGAAGGGCAGAAAGATCAAAGTATGAAGAATGTACGCAATAAAATACACTATTAAATAAATATATAAAGAAGAATGCAATGACATTCTATTAATTTCGTTGCAACAACAATGTTATGAGAAACTGAACAAATTTAGCAACAAATTTTGTGTCTTTGAAAAAGAATACATTCTCCTTGTAATTTTACAAGGGTCTCTCTTATTTCATTCTCTCAATATGCATATGAAATAGACTTTCAAAAATAGCATTTATGGTGAAAATTAGTAGCTCTGTAGACATACGCGCTGAGAAGTAAGGAACCAAATACTAATAATAATAATAATAATCAAAACATGTGAAATACTTTTACTCGTCGTACTTTTAAATACTGGTATTAAACTCAACTTATATTTATGTATAAGGATCATTATACAATTTCAATGTACAATTTGCACAAAAAAAAGGAGGGGAAGGGACAGTTCTATATCTCTCGTTCTACTGCGCAGATTGACAAAATTTAACTTCTGATTCATGTCTCGAAAGCGCAACTTTCATATTTATTAGATTTATATATAACATTTTTCTAGCATAGGTATTTTGACACAAAATCGGACTTTTTCTGAAATGACATACCTAAATTTTTTCCATATTTTGATTCTACTACTCAAATTATGCCAAAATACCAAAGTTTTGTAAAAATCGCATAAGTAGTATTTAAAACATTAGCTCTCAAAATTTTAGCGCCTCAATGCTAATTGAATATGGTATATATTTATTAAGATTTCTTTTTTTATTAAACTTACTGGATTTCTTCTTTTACAATTTGAAATTTGCGTTCAGTCCAAATAAAATTCACAATGATTTTTTTTATTTGTATTTAAAATTTGTATTGTTTAATAATTTTTATAAATTTTTCGAAAACATTTTTGAATTATTACCTACAACATTTTTACCATCCTCTTAAAGCAGATGTATTTCTAGGCATACCTGCAAAAATTTAGAGTTTTTTTATTTAAAATTTCCGAAGATATACGTGAATTTATATACTGGCGCGTTTTGAAATTTAGCATATTTGTCATACGCGATAATAACGCCAACACGGTTTGCGCAGTATGTTAAAATTATTTGAAAGAATGAACGATGCACCTTTTATTCCGCTTGTGTACACTGAAAGGGAAAGGAAAATTGGTTACCATAAATTACGAATTTCGCCAAGTGAATTAATCTTAGCGCAAACTAAAAAAAAAATGCGCCAAGACAAATTTAAAAATTTCTCGGTGTAGCATTGTTTTCACGGCTAGCTGTAAAACTGTTAAGCAAAATTGGTAAAATTTAACTGAAACAAACTTTGGACATAAACTCTGGACAAAAAGAATTTAATTAGACACTACGTAAAGAAACTTACATGTCAATATTAATACAAAATCATACAAAGAAATTTACTCTGGAACAAGAGAAAAAGTTATGTCCACGCACAAATCTGTCGAATCTCTAACGAACGGTTGAGTTGCTATTTTTTTTTAACCGTTTTCTTTTAAAGCTTTTCTGACTGTTGCCATTTACCGTTAGGTTACATCGGTAAGTTTCCCATCAAATTTTACAAAATTTAATGCTTAGGCATAATTTGAGGGGTAGAAACGAAATATGAAAAATAAATAGTTGGTATCATTTCAGAAAAAGCCCGATGTTTTGTCAAAATACCTATATTAGAACAATATATAAAAATCTAATAAATATAAGTCGCACTTTCGAGACATGAAAAACACAAGCTAAATTTCCTCAATCAGAAAAGTAGAACGGGAGATATAAAACTATCCCCCTTTTTGTTTTTTGGGCGAGGTGTACATCATGTTTTTGAAAGAAAAAAAAAATGCGAGACGCGAAGGATTCAGTCATATTCAGTCATAATATTATATATTTTTTAAATGCAGAGGAAAAACAAATGTTAATTAACAAACATCCTACAACAACAGTAAACACTGAAGACAAATTCAAGCATACCAGAAAGGAAAAACATATGCTAATTAACAAACATCCTGCAACCGCAGTAAACATTCAGGAGAAATTCAAGCCATACCAGAAAAATAAAAACGTTTAAAATGAGAGGTTTTATGTACGTACGATATATTAGGTAACCATATTTTAAGTGCAAAGCAATACACAACTTAAATAAACTTTACTTTGCACTTCGCTGTCGCAATTTTATAAATAAATAATCACAATTAAGACAGCTTATTCTACGCCTAACTTAAAATAACGGATCAGTCTTTTAAACATTTGACTGCTGACGTTTAACTTTTTTCGCTTGAAAACATATTGGCATTAAAAATTTCAGCAATCACTTTCAGAAATAAATCATATCCATTGCATAATTTTTCGCTGTTTTGGATTCCCATTCAACTTAATTTTAGGTTGCACTTGAAAACTCATGCAACAATCTTTTTTTTTTAATTGCATGCAATCTTACCTGGTGTATTTCAGAACTCTTTGAGAAACGGGGGCATATTTTAGAAAGCCAACGGAGTGAGTTCCTATACTAGTGAAGGAGTCTCCTGAATTGTGAGGGGCAGCAACTGTAATAGCAGCAGGAGTTTCGAGAAGAAAGACATTTGAATTTCCTTGCTCAGACTGTTTGTGATTTGGGAACACTTTTGGGGCATCATTCAGGAGAGAAGGTAATGCTGCGATAATATTTTTAAAAAAGAATTGATTTATTACTATACATATAAATTATTTTAAGTTATTACTATAATCTTAAGACTTCATCTAACTATTCTTATTTAATTATTCATTTTTATGACACTAAAATTTCAATCCACTTAAATTAATATGGATAGTGACATAAAGAAACATTAATCATTAAATACCTAACAGAATTTTTTTAGGAAATTTAACTTGATATCAATATTAGAGCATGCATATCATATTACTTACACATTTCTATAAAGTATAATGATTATATTAATTTCTGACACAGAAAGGAGTCTAAATCACTTTTACAGATAGCAACTTGCTAAAAGTCTTATTCCATTTCTTAAATTACTAGATCATAATATCTTTATCCATGATCATAATATCTTTATGCCAAAAAATGACATTATAGTCTATCTATAACAAACAATTGAATCTCACTCTGTTTCCCACTGTTAGTCCCACTTTCACTCGTCTTCAACTGATGAGAATCGCTTTTATCCCTTCCAACAATATTCAATTCTGAGGGCACCAGCGTTTGAGAATCACCTGATTCTGGAGGATCCAGACTTTCCCATCTAAGGAAACAAAAGTTAAGACTCTGCACAATTTTATTCAAATTTAGCATAATAACAACTGTGCAAGCTTATAATACTTGAATGAACAAGTAGATTTAAATTTATTTTTAGATAATTATGTCATTTCTTCAATAAATGTTAATTTATTCTGGAAATTCCTTTAAGTCGATAAAGCAAATAAAGAAAATTTTCTAATATCATGAAGAATTCAGAATTTATTAACCAATTCTTAAATTAAATTCTTATAGTTGCATAATTTTCTTCTGCCCTTGAGTCAAGAATTAAATATTATACTGAGCTTATACAGTTTTCACTTTTCTTATGATAACAGACATAACGAACAATCGGTCAAACACATATATTTTCTAAATGACAGCCTCTTGTTCGCTATTTTTTCATAACTGCTTGTTTCAGGGAAATATATGCAATAAAAAAATTACTTGTAAATATTAGCCCTCTGATTTTCTCGACTATATGTTATGATGAATTCAGTCATCATTGGATAAAAGTTTAGATTCCTGAATCTCTCGTTTTTGAACATTAAAATACAATAGAGTAAGTATACATCAGCAAGTAACGCAACACACGTAATACAAATCTCAGTGTAAAGCACATTTAAAATGAGAAACAATTTCAAGCAAGCATTAAAAAATAACATACAGAAAAAAAGTTGCATGAGCCAAGATGACATCTTGGGAACTTTCACCTAAACCAGCCGAGCAATACCACTGAGCCATTGCAAGCTTCAAGAATTTTACTCTGCCCTTTTCAGCAAGCTTTACTTTTCTTAGCAAGGAAACAAAATATTTTTTTCAGAACTGAGACACCACTTTCTTTCACTTTCTTTCTGCCTGTATTAAAACAGATCTAACAATCCCTTTTATGAACCGAAATAACATTTAATTAAAACGGCATGTTAAGGTCAATTTGTAATAATTTGGGTTTCGAATGGGACTCGAACTAGCTCTGGTTTCAGTAGCTTCAATGTTGTAGCAATAACGCGCTAGTAAGCACGATGTTTCTACACCACTTAAGTTTGTAACACAATCTCGTAATATCGGCATGAACATTCTTCGATAAGATGTGCTCTCGTAAATTAAGGACATTTCCTCTCACCTGCCGTACCTACTCCAGGCAAGATGAAATTTGTCTCATTTCAGTACAAGAATAGATTCATTCAAAAAAGAATGTATTCCCAGTAAAGATCAATATCTTGAACTCTTAAAAACTTTTATTTGTTTTCATTTCGTTCACTTCTTCGCTCCCAGCGTATCACACATCGTAAGCTCCAATTTCCCTTCGTGGGCCTACCGTATCGTATGTGATACGCTGAAACGAAACCTTTAATTTCAAATTTTAAATGCCCATAAATTACATCAGAATGCTGCGATAATTTATTGAATGGAATCTCTTGAGTGTTAGCTTTGTTGTTCTCATATTATTATTTTATTCTACGAATGCAAAGCGAGCGATACTTAAATACATGTTCAGAATTCTGAAATATTTCACGAAGTGCAAATGGCTTAAAATGCTGCATGTAAATCTGGCAACAGGATATAATAGGCACTGATGTTTGAATCCTTAAGTTTTTTACTTAATTTACTGCACAGAAATAATTTATATATGTAAATACCATCGATGTTACTAATATTGCACACTAACTTATATTGAATTTTTATTTTAATTGTAAATATTATAATTTTTTTGTTTATATCATAAGAAATATTAGTATTTAAAAGCATATGAAAGAATCCAAATATTTCCCTAAAAAGCAGATTTTATAGGAATTAGTTTTGCATGTTAGGCCTTATTGCAAATTGCGCTCGAATACACAATGACGTTCACCACTTCAAGGTAACGCGCGCACAGAGAAACGCCATTCTCTCGACGTCGAAACGAAGAGGTTAACAGAGATTTAATAAAAAAGTACTACTAATACTTGATGTGACATTCAACGATATTTATTACCTATTACTTAGTGCATAGTGTAAGACCGAAAGTTAAAGATTAGTTGTAGGTGTATGAATAACACTTTTCTGTGTGTAATAAAACTGGACTTTAAGTTTTCCCAAGTATCCAACTTTTAAAGCAAAATAACCTGCACCGCAATATGAATAACTCTACCACGGTGTTTTGCAATGAAGCTCCTTAATAATAATACGTAAAATTTAGAATATCAGAAGACGTTTTACGTTTAAAAATTAAAAAACTGAATATTTGAGCGGTCAATAAGGCAACACTGAAAGAAGTTTTTTGATACTATTTTCAGGCATTTTAAAAGTAAAATTTAAAAGATAAATGCAGTAAGCCAAACTCAGCCAGATCATCAAATACGTCATCGAAATACTTAAACCACTACTTAAAGATCTGTTAAGTCTCTGCTGCCATCCAAGGTGATCATACCTTTAAACATTTCATTTAATTATCTCCTCTAATGTTTAAGCTTCTTTTTACACAAATTTTTCTGCGTAAATATATCCATCACTTGTCCATACAGTTGTAAGGTTTATCCTAAGTTGTTAACGGTTATTTTTTGTTAAAGCCACTTTCCTGTCGTTCCTAATTTCAGCTAACAATTTCCTACCGGACTGCTTTTTCAGAATCGCGGTTAAATGCAAATTAAGGAAGAGCAGTACTTAAAGTCTAAGTTCTACTGAGTTCGTTAGAGAGCCAAAGATTCTGACTAGCGCGCGTTTGCCTTTTGGATACACTCTCTTTAAGCTATTACTACGCTCGGCCAACTCCTGTAGAATTTAGATAGCTTCGGCTATATCTTTTTAGTTAAGCATTAGTTAAGTTTTTATTTCTTAGTATTCTTGAGTTCAAGCCCAAGTGGAAGCTTTTATGTACATCCTGAGAAAGGGGCATCTGTAAACTTTATTTTTGAGCAATAAAGGGTAATGAAGTTTCCGAGTCTGTCTCCTGAACTAAAGCGATTATTCGCTTACCAGATCTCAAGGTTCCACACATTTAGCTGTAAATTCTAGGTTGGAACATTATATAGTAGATCAGATAGATGTTGAGTATATAGTAGACAGACAGATAGATGAATAAACACATACAATAGTAAAAAAAAATTGACTATCTAGTAGATTACTTGAGGTAATTCACGCTAGTCAGCAGAAAATAATACAAATTTGTGGAACTGTGAAGAGTAAGCGTCTAATAACAGATGAAAATCATAATAATTAATGTTTTTTATTAAAAAGTTACTTTAGTACTTGTTTACTTTGGTAATCAATCCCCTCCTTCCTCTCGGGGGGAAAAAACTTTACTTATTCATTGTTTTTATGAGTTCATAGCTATATGTGCACGTCTTTCAGACATTCTGAACATTTGTTAAATCGGTAAAGGTTTCTTGGGCTTTTAAAGATAGCTTTTACATCGCCTTGTTAGACAGATTGCAATTTTTTATGATAATTGCCTTGTTAGACAGATTGTAATTTTCTATGATAATCTTTTTAAGTGGTTTTCGTCAAATTACTCTTGGAGACTGAATAGTTACCTTCTAAGAATATCGCAATATTTTTATAAGTTTTTCTGCGCAGTTCAAATCGTCATTTCCTTTCGAAAACCACTTTGTATTTCATTAAATTATTTACCATCGTCACAGATCGACATAATGGTGTGCTTTGTGAATTATGGTAGATGAAAAATAAAATTGCCCAGAAAGAGTCCTACGCAGCAAATTTAGAAAATTTTGCTTTTTTTATAAAGTCCAGATTTCTAATATTCGAATGCTTCGTGGAGGACTTTCTAAAGAAAGCTGGCTCGTATTTACATTGCACACGGAAAAAACCACGAAAATCAACCATACAGTCAGTCAGTTCGTAGACTCTTAATATATCAGAATTTACGTGGAGTTCAAAGAAATGTTCAGGAAAAAAAATAGAAGACGTTTTCTCTTTCCTTGGTTGCTTTCTGGAGAAAGCATGTCACCCATTGACCATACTATATTTTGCAACAAAAATTCTCAAGTACACTGTCGATTTGCTATCAGATACCTTGGAATGCAGAATACAAAGCAAAGCTTAAGAAAATCTGATGCGGACATTACGTGACTTCCTTGTACGGCCTATTAAAATATATAATTTTTTTGTTGCCCTCCATTTAAACTCATTTCCTCGAATTATTCTAACTTAATTAACTGATTCCTCAATGCAAGTTGAAAATGACAAAAAATAGTAGGTTTTGAAATTAAATATCCCGGTCAAATTTTGTCGTCAGTAGTCAAAATTTTTGTACTTTTATTTTTTCGTAACGAGTATTAAATCTTTTCCAGATATAAGTATATATGAAAAATAATGAGGAAGACCGCATTAAAAGATAAATTTCGTTATTTATCCAAAATTAATTTTTTAATTAAAAATTAAATTACTTTTTTTAATTTTAAATGCAGGAGACCGCATTTGAAGTCAGATTCCGTTATTAGTCTAAAATGTTTTTTTGTTTAAAATTGCCAAAACATGAATATTTTTGCTATTTAGAACACTTCTACAACTGCAACTGTACTACTAACGAACAACGATTGCCAAAATAAAGGCCGGATGGTAGGTGTGTGTGTGTGCATATACTTTTGGTATCCCGATTGCAATAAAAAAAGGGATGTGCATAACTAGATGTTATAGCAGCCCCAATTCGTTTTGGGGCTGCTATAACATATCACGGGGAAGAAGTGAAAATGGATACTTTCGTTGAAACCTGACAACCGAAAACTTTCGTAATACGTTTACCATGGTTCATTTTCTGCTCAGACATACCATTAGAAATTGTTCATAATTTGGGAGCTTTTACTACCTTTTTTATTGCTTATAAAGTTTTTTATTTTTCCTTTTTTACTTCCTTGTACGAAGTGAAAAGAAAGTATTGTAATCGCGAAAAATTTCGGGTATCATATTTCACCCAAAATATCGATTTTGACTGCCATCCAAGGCAATTTAATGATGTTTTTTGCGTGACATCCGCAAGTAAGGACAAAATAAAAGACTCTTTTCCCAAAA